AATTTTCGGAAAATTTCTTTTATTTTTAATTGTTGCCATACTTTTTTGACCAATGCAAATCGCTTGATACTCTGTTCGGACGATGCCATTTTCTCTAAAACTTTCTCCAAAGCCTGTGGATCATCCGGTGGTCGAACCATTGACCATAATTTTGCCTCAATCACATCCTCAAGAACATTATGTGCACCAACATAATTATCCATGCAACCAACATAAGGCAATTCAATCACCTTTGGCCACAATTTCACATCTGTATAAATACGTTCTTTCCAAAAACGACACGTTTCAGCTAAATGAACAAGACTTTTCAAGTCTAAATAGTTCAATATTATTGGAATTACGTCAATAAATGGTCCTGAATTCATAATAAATGTAGCTGAAATAACAAAATAATGATCCATACCATCGATAACTCGTTCATTAATCATACGCAGTTACCTGATTCTTCTATGATTGACGTCATTACTTTGTTTTTATTACTTACTGACTATTCTGATTGAAGCTGTAAATATAATGTCATAAACATGCGCACGTGTGCTTACCGATAGTAATGAAATGTTTTTTTTTTCCTTTCCTATCATTTTTCGCCCATTCTTTTTATGTGATTACTCAACTGTTTGTAAGTAAAAAAAGACGTAAGAATCATCATATATTGAGGGTGTAGGTGTAAGTGTGGGTGCGACTGTGTTCTCATTATAACCACTGCCACAGTCACACCTGCACCACACAACCCCAGCTGTACCTGCACCACGCACCCACACACACACATACCCCTTCAATAAACGATAAAGAAATGTATCACGTGTGTACCAAAAAAATAGCATTACGTGCATCATAATATTCTTTAAATTCATCGACAACGTTTAATTCTGTTTGATTGATGGGAAATTTATGACGGCAAAAGTCAATCATTTCTTCTTCTGTAGATTCTATGTTTAACTAAAATGTCATATAAAACTTGTGCATACATAAATTCAACTTCTTATCGTTGAACAGTGTTGTTCGATGATGATAACAATAGTTGAAGAGTGTCATTAGTAGCAAAAATAGAACTATTCAATATATATGACAATGAATTAATAATAAAATCATCATCTAAAAATCCTTGTCTACGATATCGTTTGATATTTGACAATTGACATAATTGATTACAGAGTGTTTCCAAATCTGTGTAAATTTCATGTATTTTACTCAGTTTTTCGAAGCTTTCATTATTTGTTGCGTTTAAATAGAAAATATAGATTAAATCGATTTGTGAAAGTTCTTCAGCTAATTCCAGAAGTGTATTAAAATATAAATCATTGAAGAACTATTATTAGATATGGATCAATTTTATATAAAGCATGATGAATTGTATAGTCACTTTCGACGATGATTAAGTCAGATTTTTGATCTATCGAAACTGTTATCTAATTTTCTTCCATTTTTGTTGAATTTTTTTAAGACTTATTTTTTTATTGTCATTTGAAATATAAACTACTACTTTCTCGATTCCATTTTTAAGAATATTCTACATAAATATTTTGTTTAAGAATATGAATATATAAGAAACTTGGTTTTTTCCAAGTGAAAAATGTGATCAATGAAAAGCAAAAACATTGTGTTGTTTGTTAATCAAAAAAATCGAGCAACGAACAACAAAAAACTTACCATCACTTTCAAAAAGCAGAGCAGGAAAAAAAGCCGAAGAAAAGCTTGCTAGTGTGTCATCTTTGAGGCTGAAATGTGGAGCTCACATATTTTTTATAAGCTAGAAGATAATTTAGTATAAATTGTCTTTCGTGTAATATAATTTACTTTTAAGTTTAGAACAAGTGAAGCGAAAGAATGAAAGATTTCTTTGGATGTGGATGTGAAATCAATACCGACACACCCAATTCTTGAACAATATTAACCATACATTGAATATAAGTATGAATCATCATCTGAGTGAAACCAAATTTGGAGCAGTCGAATTTTCAATTCAACTCTGTTCGATTTTCAATGTTCTTGCATTTGCGAATTCTCTAAATTTCACGAATAGAAACACCATTTTACTTTGTATTTTCCAGATGAATCAATGAGTTTCTTGTTGTAAAAATGAACAATCTCACATAATATTCTACGAAATCAGGTAAATCAGCAAAATCAAATAAATGCTCTTTCAATCATACTCATTTTGAATCTAGTGTTTTCAAAAAAGTTTCGTATTAATTTCGTCATAATTTCAAATGTAGGTTATTACATATTCATTTTGAAATATTTGAAAAGTGAGTCTTTGAATTAATGTTACGTTTCTTTCTCAATATCTCAGCAAATAAATATGCGAGCATTTACTTTTTTTTCGATTCTATACATTCGTCTATGATACATCATTAGGTTTTCACACTCAACGTGGATACGCAATTGTGACGCATTGTTGGCAAAAAAAACACATTTTACAATTGTACATACTGTATACTACGATTGATGTCTACTAATAAGAAATCGTATCTTCAAACGTTAGCCATTGAGCTTGTTCATAGAATTTTTGATGATCTCAATGCCGAGACAATTGTCTTTTCAATTCGTTGCGTGTGTAAACGACTCTATTCCATTGCTAATGCCTACAATCGTTATGAACTTGACTTCCGTTATATGTCAAAATCTGATCTACCTCTCATGGCACGTATTATTGATTGTAAAAATGTTATTTCACTTACACTTTCGAATGAAGTAAAGACACACGATCAAATTCGATTATTTCTTTCCTACTTTCGTATTGACCTATTCACTCGACTACGTTCATTGACTCTCTTTAATGTAAAATACAAAGATTTGGATGAATTTCAACAGCATATCATGAAATATCCTCTTACAACATTCTCAATATCACCTGATTACTCTGATATCGAGAAGATAATAGCATTGCTATCATCTATCATATCACATAATGATCTTCGTAAAATCGAATTCAAAGGAACTGATGAAATTCTCCATAAAATACAATGGCCTATTTCATGTGGATTGAAACACGTGACAATTTGGGATGAGTGCAATTGGAATAAAGTTTACTCTATTCTTGGTCACTTACCTCATCTACAAACACTGGTACTAAAAAAACTAGTCGTTGATGACACGATACTTACACACTCTGATATCACACGGTTAAGTCATTTAACTTCGCTCTCGTTAAATCTCAGGTTTGATATAACAATGAGCAATATTGAATCCATCCTTTCACTTTTACCTATGCTAATACATCTTCGACTGATCGGCCAGAGACGTTTAACTGATCCTTTATTATTTGATGGTTTTCGATGGGAAAATTTCATTAAAATGAAAGTGCCTTTATTGAACAAGTTTGAATTCTCGTTTATTCGTTATGCACTCGATGGTGAAGATTGTACTACTGTAGAATCACTAATTGCACCATTTCGAACACTATTCTGGCTCGAACTCAAACGTTGGTTTATTAAATGTGACTACGAATACAGCAATTATATGCAAGAATTTCATCTGTATTCAATACCAATATTCCAAGATAGCTTTGATTATCCTGATCAACAAGGTAAAATGGTTCATTCCAAGTTGAACATCGATGATAACAATACAACAATCATTGTTAATGCGCATCGATTATCCATAGACTTGAACCACATAATGACTGAAAACATTCAACAAAAGGTAAGCGTTATTTTAGATTTTAAAATTCCGCTATTTCT